CCCCAAAACCCCAAAACCCCAAAACCCCAAAACCCCTTTATATAAATTTTTCATTGAAGTTGCAAAATAAAATTATAAAATTGGATAAAAATGCTTCCCAGTAAGATAGTGCTCAAGTGCCTACTTGGAGCCCCACAACCCAGATTGGCCACGTTTGAGGATCAACGGGGTTCGTTTTAATGATTATAGCGAATGTTATTAAATAGAAACAGGGTTGACGACTCAACATCCTATTTAGCACCTCTATGTCTGTGGCTTCGTCATAGAATTATTTTATTTAAAATATGAACTTGTGTGCAATCTTAATTTTTGAGGAAAGAATGATTAATGTTATATAGATCAAATAAAATCCAACATCAAAGACGAGTTTGTTTCAACAATGAAGGATGCTTTTTCAGACCAGGCTTATCAAGTGAAGGATACGTCTGAAGAAAGATTGAGATTGCAATATAAAAATACCAAGAACACGATAGTTTTTGGAATAGACAAGAACTCTTACTTCAGACAGGGAAGTAACAACATAATGTCTTCTGAGCTATCTAAATACTCAGAGGATGCCAAATAAGGCAGCTGATTCAGTAAAAGAAAAATTGAGGGCTCATAATTTCAAATTTGGGAGTCACAAAGCTGACTATACTCTTTCTTCCCAATGAGATAAGGACCAAAGCCCTGATAAGGACATCAATAATCCTGGTGTGAATAACTTCCGGGCTAAGAAAAAGATGTATAACACACAGAGTCTTTGGAACAAGACTCAGAAGTTGAATGTGAGGAAGCTGGAAAACCAGAAGAGTAATCATAATTTTGAGTCAGCAAGTAGAAGTTTTCACAAAAATCCAAAAGACCAGAGAGTAGATCCTACCAATCTACCTTCAATGAAGATTGACAAGAACGACCTTAAGAAAAGCTCTATTAAGTTAGGAGAATCAGGAGGAAATAATGATCTTGTTGGAAGCCATGGAAATAATTTTATACATTTTGGAGGTTCAAATAAAAGAGGAATGAACAATAGTCTTACAAGGGTCAATAATAGATCGCCTGCTCTGAGAAATAAGAATGCTTTAAAGACAAATGTGAGCCTAGGAGGACACCAAAAATCCCAAATATTAAATACTTCAAACAGTGATGAATTTAAAGCTCTGCAGGTTTCAAAGGATATCAGAGATAAGGATCAAGGAGTCCATGATTTTATGAAGAAAAAGAATGTGCATTTAGGATTTGTCTCTAACAGTAACAATTCAACTACAAAATCAAGCTTCCCAAACTATAACAGGAAAGTTATCAATACTGTCAACGGAGAGATACCAATGAACAGAAATTTGATTAAGAGCATGTATTTAGGAAGTCCATCAGGAACTAAAAAGACTGAGTCAAAGCTTTCTATGTATGGAGAAAAGATCACTAATGAAAGTAATACAGCTCAGGAGATGAACTTAAAGAATAAAACCCTGAAAAGAGAACTTCTTTCTCATGCCTTCAATCTTGGGTACCAAGAAGGGACCCATAGAAGGGGTCCAAGTGTTGATGTTGCTCATCATATGAGAAAGAATCCAGTAAAACTTAATGAGTCGGCTTTGCTGAAGCAGAAAAATGAGAAGCAGAACTTCAAATACTGCCAAGATCCCAGTGGAAGGTATAATAAAGTTGAAAATGGAAATTATCTTAACCAAAGAAGATATTTATCAAATGGAGGGAGGAGCAAAAATGATAATGACTATTGGAAATCGAATTTTACTTTTAATCAAGTAACTTCAAAAACAGGAGCAGGATCTTTTAAGAATTCGCCTTTTGACTCAACCGATATATCATTTAAAGCTTCTGCTAAATCAACCAAGTCAGGATTTAGTGAAACGAACAAATATAAGAAAGAACTTGACAAAAAGATACAAGAAAAGAACAAACAAAACTCCACTAAATCAAATTTCCAAGTTGGCTTTCACAAAAACGACTTTAGCACATCCTACAAGAACCAGTACCTTTGGAAATCCCGTGAGGCTAACGTATAATCTCTCATCATAAACCTTCTCAGAACCTTACTTACCCCATAACCCCCTAAATCTCTTACTTAAGCTACAACCTTGCCTAAACTCTCTGTGCTAATCTATTCTCCTCCCAGGTTACGCAAACTCTTTAGAGTAAGCATAGCAAGGACTGGGATAGTAGAGCTTTAGGATACCATTTATAGTGAAAACGTAAACTTGCTGTCCAATTTTGGTAGAAATAATCATTTAATCATCAGGAAATAAAACAGAGGGGTTTTGGGGTTTTGGGGTTTTGGGGTTTTGGGG